CTTCCTTTCTGCCGAAGATTTCTCCTCTTCTTTACTTGGTGCTCCCTGAGATATGATCTCACAATCCGCCTTTGACATTCCCAACATTCTAGACACAGTCAGTGTTGATTGCTGTTCACCTCTCATCGACACGACAGTTAACCTTCATATAGAACAAGATTTTTAGGTCCAAACCAATGGAAAGATCCCGAGATAATGCTACCATGTAAGAATTGACTGCACAAATCTACGAAACTCATATGGTTATGAAGAACTGAGCCAGATCGAGAAGCCTCAACACCGTTTAATCACGTGAGCCTCGCATATTTGTGCTGTAAATTCCTACATGATAGAGAGTATTGATTTTTCTCGACGTGGGCCAACTTCTTTAGATTTGCGAAATTTGACTAAACTCAGTTTTAAGACAACATTTGCCTTCTAGGTTTGTGGGCGATACCGGTGACAGTTATTGAGTTTTCCTCTCCATTTCCGTGTACTTTCACGTTAACGTGCTAGGGAATTGGTACCCTCCACACTACCATAGGAGCTTGAGCACAAGTAGAGCCTGGCTAGATCAGATTGAGTACCAAATAGGCCTCGCCCCACTTGAATGACCGGACCATCTCAGACTTCACTTGTGTTGGAGATGTCAAGTCCAACCGTCCAGTAACCCGATTTCAATACGCCGAGGCGCAATTTTCTCTTCAGTCTCGAGCACCGCGCGTCTGAGCCCTTGATACTCCATCAATCTCTTATTTGTCATTTCCGTTCATTTCTAGTCATGCCTTGTCCTAGTATCTCCTCATCTCATTTAGGGCTCGTTCTCTTGGTTGGAGGCCTCCTCAGTTTCTCTTCAATTTTATTCCTCCATTGCAGATGTCCTTAATCCTTATGTCAACTTTGCCATCTTAGAAACTTTGTAGACTTTCCATCCCTCCAGCCTTGCCCCGTCACTGCGGTAGCACTAACCGTGAAAGCTGAATACTGGTCGAAGAGCACAAACCTAGGCACCGATGCCTCGGCATTAGCCAAATTCTCTAGTTAATATGTTGGCGAAATGTCGTAGATATCTCCTCAGTGGCACTTTGTCGCAGGTCGAGTTTTTGGTGCCCTTGGCCGAGATATTGACAATTACGAGGCCGGTACTTTGACCATACCTTCACAACAAACGACAGTTGCTACAGTATGGATGTCAACTTTAAATATTGGTAGCACTCGTTGGCTACGGTTTTCGGCATATGCTTGAATAGTGGTATTAACTGTAGTCTATCTTTCTAGAACTATTCACATGGGCAGGGGTCCATATTAGTATTCACGCAGGTGCCCGTGCGCATCATGCTTAAGCTTACTGCCTAAGGCAATTACTTCCTAAGGCAGTAACTTTTCTTAAATCCTTTATGTAAGCAGACTTTTGCATCCGTAAGTTTGGATCCAACCCAAGGGCGAAGGTACGATCTACTTAAAGAAATATGGGAATTATGATGATTTGATTTGAATACATTCCGTATCAGGCTTAAGTCCAAAACCCAATAGGCGTGATACGGGTGTATGCTCCCCAGGGGTACACTACAACCTAGGCACAGGGTGTGCCTAGAATGAAGTAATATAATTTGCACAAATGGATATAAAATGTATAAAAAAATTGAGAAAAATGTACCTGTTGAAGGACAATTGTAATTTAGAACATTTAAATAGACAGAAGTGTCATAGCTCTAGAGCTGCATACACAATGAAATAAAAAAAACCAAAGTACATGGAGGGCAAGACTGAACACCTGCACGCGGTGTCCTCTACGAACCTGGGATTGAAATATTCTCCCAAAGCCAAGTTCAGTCAAATTTTGCAATATTAAAGAAGTTGGCCCACGAGGTAATGATTCAAATTACTCCACCACGTCGTTCTTTCGCTCCCAACGAGTTTGACTCCGACCTAAGTCTCATAAAGTCTAAAAGTACGACCTAGTACATCCTCATCTCAGTGATCACACCACTCGTCGACCTTCTCTGGCCTCAGTTGACCACCAAATACATGCCCATGCCGATATTTACAAGATGACACGGAGGATGGATACAATCTCGACGGGGGTGAAATTTCGAATTCTGCCAAGGAGTTTTGACAAATTGAGCTCTGTGCGTGCCAAGGCTTCGGTTGCGAGAGTGCAGGCGACACTGTAAACACCGCCATGGCTGGATGGTGTGGTGGTACGTCGTCCTGGCCGGTCTCCCAAGTAGAGTCTGGATAGCTTTTTGTTTTTTTTTTTTTTAAATCAATGAGTGTATGCAGCCTAACTAGCTATGACACTGTGTCTGGATAGCTTGGACACATATCCCACTCGAGACAATAGATCGCTGGTATACATGGATGACGAAGGCATGCTTGGATAATCAAAGGTTTTGAATTTCCCTCTGGTGGGTACTCACGGGGGAGGGTCGACTGTTTGTGTAAGCATGCATACCTCATAGTGGTGTTTGCGGATGAAATCCAGGGTATGAGTGTCTCCAACGTCAAAGGAGTCATCCAACATGTATATATAGCACTGGTCATGGGTCATAGCTCCATAGCTGCATACACATTACATGATTTGAAAACAAAAAGCTACTTCCCGCCGTTTTCCTCTGCAGCCAAAGACTTAGAGAGGGCAATTATGTGAATTCCCGCTGTATGCTAAGCTCTTGTGTGTGGTGATGAAATTATTGCTCGGCGCCATCCCTTGCGTACGTCAATCCATATTCCCTGTAGACCTCCACTGCCGAGAGAAAAAAAGAGGGTTTCTATTAAACATCTCATCTTCCTTAGCTAGCTCGCGTCGGGCATCCCTTGAATATCCGAGATGTTATATGGGCATATCTCAGTTGAGAATCGAGTCTTGTCGCGCCATTCCCCGAAGGCTTGCTCCTCAGGCGCAGGATTAGATATTACAGCGCTACGATGGATTCGTGGCCCAAGGTAACCCAGTATCCATTCTAACATTCGCTCTCGCCTCTTGACTGGTCACACGGAGGGGGACTACTCTTAGCACCTGTCAGTGATATTCCCCACGAACCTCCAACTCTCGCTATAGAGTCTGCAGAGTCGAGACTGAGTGATACTGTTAAGCAAAGCTATACAAGTGTGAATCTCAGAGTTGATTGAATTGATTGTCCTCTACCATGAGGAATCTATCTAGATACTATATACATCTTGAGTATCCTATTAATTCCAAATATAGACTGACTATTAGATTGCCCATGCGAACTGCTCAAATCTCCGTTCTATACATGGTTCTCAAATTGGCCGTCACATTATCATGGGCAAGAGAAGGAGCGAAATATTGAGGCAGTTGTGCGTAAGAAATTGGCCATCCGTCTAGTCGCTAGTTGTAACATTTGCATGACTAAGTTATTGCCCTTGATGCATCAGCTCCGTTTACTTGCTTGTAAACTACTCAACTTAAGCATCATGATACAATATTTAAATTTAGGGTAATCTGTTTGACAGATCAAGTGTTCATTTCCATGAGGATTCCCATTCGCTTTCGCGGTCTATATCTTCTTCATCTCTCAACAGATCCCCGTTTCACCATTACCATGAAGCTAACCACGATCAGATCAGATGTCAGGGCCGAAACCTTTCTCGTCACCAACCCTTGATCATGGAGGAGAAGCCATCCGATGAGTTTTCGGAGTGTAACCGCCACCCGATACGGAGATGGTGGACTGGAACAAGTCGGCCTCGAATGTTACAAAGAAGGGAGATATAGATGAATATGCGCACCTCATGTGGTCCCAGTGTCTAGGCCTCGGCTGGCTGGGGCTGCAGGTTTTTTGAGACCTTTTCCCGCGCACGCAGTTTCCATTGCTACCATATTTTTTAGGGGAGAAGATTCCACGGATAATCACTGAGCTAAATGGCTATTCATCACGGGATACAAATCAATGATCTTTCAAGTAACAAAAGAGTACAGGACCATTGTATAAGGTAATGCCTGGGTCAGAGAGGAGCCCGATGTGCAAGGTAGTCATAGACTCAAGTTGTACAATAAACACATCACATCACAAATTTTTATTCAGCTATCTAGTCATGACACATGAGCGGTGCTATGTATACATGTTGGATGACTCCTTTGACGTTAGAGACACTCATACTCTGGATTCCATCCGAAAATACCACTACGAGGTATGTTTGCTTACACAAACAGACGACCCTTCCCCGTAAGTACCCACCAAGGGGACATTTCAAACCCTTTGGTTATCCAAGCATGCCTTCATCATCAGTGTATACCGGCGCCGCGAGAAATGTGGTCGTGTTCTGCCGGATTCGAATGAGCAATCTCCTGTCTCGAGTGGGATATGTGTCCTAGCTATACAGATCTTACTTGGGGGACTGGCCAAGACGATGTACCACAGCATCATCAAAGCAGGTCATGTTTAAAGTGATGCCGACACTCATCAGCATACCATAAGGCTTTCATTGATCCAAACACTTATCTTGGATCGTGGAAATGTTTGGAGTGCATGTGTTGGATCACTGAAGTTGAATAGATCTCATAGGAAAAGTCAAAGTGGTAACAAATGTCACTTGTGTAAATACGAAACATCAAAATGATTAATCTTATTCACGGATATTATCTGGGGTGCAGGTGGTTGAATTCGTTGGGTGGTGCAGTGGTGAAATCTATGCAGATCGGATATTCGAGCAAAAACTTGCCAGCTCCACTCTTCCTGATCGCCATCCAGTGGGTAAATCTCAGTCTGCCTCTTTCTGAACTGAGACTGGGCTCTCAAGGTATATCGTAGCCCCAGATTCATTCAGGACTCCACAAACAATGATTTACCCCTTGTACTTCCATCTCAAGGCTTTAGTTGGCATGGTGCACAGAAGCTGAGGCTAGATGTAAGATATTTCAGTCGTGCTGTGTAGGTGTTCCAGCAAACATTTTGCATGTAGTACTGCTCGTATCGTCTTCGTGCAAAGTCTGAATATCACCAATGTAATACGATGCGTAATGAGCATCTAAGCATAAGCCACCGGATGTGCTGTAGCTATAGTCGATTTCGATGACGAAGCTTGTAGGCATCCCATAATTTTGCCTGTTGTTTGCTATCCCATGGTCTATCTCTATTCTGAGGCGTAACTTCACGCCTTAGGCACACATGTTCGGCTTTAAATCCCCAAGACATGCCAATATAGTCCGCATTATTATCAATAATAACATGTTTTGGGACTAGCGGCTTGGTCAGCACATTTTAATTGTATGAATCTTTTAGATAAACGCACCTTTAGTATTTCTCAAGCGAAAGGCTATGAATGAATAGTATACTGGCTTCCGCCTGCGAGAGGATGGGTTAGGATCATAAGGTTCCAATAATGGCATTCTGGGTTTGTCGGAGGCTTGTGTGAGGGCTAATTCACGTTCTGCAGCATTGAAGAATTTCAAGACTTCTTCCTCTGAAAAGATCTGATTGGCACAATTAAATTGACTAATGTCATCGTCATTTTCGACCTGAGTGTTGGTTAGAGCGAGAGATCCGACTGCAAAGAGCAAGAGTGGGATGATGTAGGTAAGTTGCATTGTAGAATGCTACTAGGAAATTTGGACCAATCGCGAGCGATGTAGAGGAGGAGCGGATCTCTCGAGAGGTAGAGACTGAGTAACTTTCAACTTGATAAACAGCGAAATTTTAGAGTATTCAAAGAGTGTTGAAAGTGAAGATTGAAAGAGGGATACGGTGAAGAGGGAATAATTGCACCAGAAACTAGTGACGTTTAAGGCTTGTTAAATGTCGAGCTGCGATGGAGATTGTCGAGTATTTTTCACTTAAACTTACGAGTTATTCTGATGCTGAAGTACTCCCCACCAGAATAACACTCCTCGAGCCGGTGCGTTTCTCAGGCACGAAGGAACATTCCTGGTCGGGTGTCGTGAAAACTTTTGTCCTGGAACACGTGAAATTTCTTCGCGGAAACGAAATTTTGCCACCGCGCCTGGCTCGCCCTCTACGTACGCGACTCATAATCAGTCCCGAATGCTGCACACAGTACCACTGACGCCTGTGGAGTTTCATTACATGACCCATCATATCCATCGGAAAAGATTCAAGTAATTGAGCCTCTAGACAACCAAATTTTCCAAGCCTTCATATGGCCTTTCACTATCCCGCGTAGTCATAGATTCAGTAGGAACTTGAATCTAATTCCATTTCCGTAAAGTTATGCTTGTGTGCGTATCCCAAGACGCATTGGACATGACTCCACGGCCAGGCTTCCGAAGTGAGGGTCATAGACAAAGGACTAAGGGTCAAGGGAGGAGGATACAAAACGATACGCATCCGCGGTGCCCTTTACGAATCTGGGAGTGAAACATTCTCCCAGTCTCCAGCTCGGTCAGACTTGACAACTGAAGAAGCTGACCCACGCGGCAGCCATGGAATTCTCTACACCAAGTCAAGTTTCTACCCTCAAATAGATCGTGTCCGAATTGAGCCTCATCAACTCTTCGACTATGACCAAGTGCATTCTTGTTTCTGTGACCGCGGTTCTCGTCAAACCAGTCTACAGCCTCGAGTAGCCTCCAAATATACGCCCACACTCATGATTTTACCCGCACGAGGATAAGAATCGTGGCGCTACCGCTGAGCTGAATGGCTATCTATCATGGGCAATATACCAATGATCTTTCAAACGAAAAAAGAGGACAGGACCACTGTAAAAGGTGTCGCCTGGGTCAGAGGGGAGCCCAATGTGATAGATATTGTATGATTCAAATGGTGCAATATTTACATTTCTCTCGATCTCCAAGCACACTAGCATCGCGGAAAGTATAGTTGTGTTTTGCTGGATTCGGACCAGAAATCTCCTGTGTCGAGTGGGATATGTGTGCAAGCTATTCTGAATCTACTTGGAAGACCGACCAATACGATATACCACTGCACCATCCAACCATGGCGGTGTTCTTAGTGTCATCTGCACCCTCGTTAGCGAAGTCTTGACACACGCAACGCTCAATTTGTGAGACTCGCCACCAAACTTCAGAATTTCACGCCCTTCGACATATTATTCATCCTCTGCATCATATCTTGTACTTTTCTGGATCACCCTCACGTCCATTTCGATGAATGGCCTCTCAGATTTGTGCGCAACGCTTTGTTTCCTCTGAAAGGGATAAATATCGGCGTAGGAATGTGTTCGTTGGTTAGCTGAAGTCAGAGGAAGTCGGCGAGAGGTATGGTTATCAGAATGAGTATGTACTAGGTCGTACCCATAAACTTGATGAGGTATTGGTGGGCATCAATCTTGCGGGGAGGGAAATATTGATTTTGCTAGGAGTAGTCAATCATTGCTTTTTGGGCCAATTTTTTCCGTATTGCGAAATTTGTCTGAAATTGGCTCTAGGAGAGTATTTCATTCCCGGGCTCGTAGAGGACACCGCGAAAAGATACTCACCCTTTTCCTCCAAATAGGAGATTTGTATGTACTCGGTAGTTCCTTGACATTCACAGGGTAGCTTTAAGTCCGTCGTAAGATTTTACCATATGGAAGGTAAATTGGAAATCCCGAGACAATGTCCAACAAATAATCTCCGGATATTCTCAATCTACTTTACTTTCCTTGAAATAAATATATCAATTAGCTGCCTCGCTTGCTTGACACGCGATCTTATGCTGAAGCTAATACACAAAATTTAGATTCGATTGACAGAAGGTCAATTCCCCTAGCAGTGAAGCTTAATTAAGACCATGGGGACAATCTTTCGAATTCCTTAGTATTATATCCCCTTTCGCAGTTCTCGACTTGCCAATCCTTCACTTCCGGTCCCAATTTACCTTGAAGGTAATGCAAGTACACTACACCGGAGAAATTGCAACCATGGTCAAATGCTGCGTAGTTGTTTGACATTTCACCTTGAGTTTACTTAGCTTCGAATCATTGTGAAAATAGAAAATTAAACATTCGATGAATTACCTTGATAAAATTTCTCATAAGGTCGGCTTCTTGGAAGGGGGATGAGGAAGTCACGGGATCCACCTCCTTCAGATCCTTGGAGATATAGGAGCCTCTCTGAATTGACTAACGTGTAGATACCATTTCTCCATGCACAATTCTCATTTCGGATGCCTATCAGGGCATCACCGGTCCAGGTATCATGCTCACATGTTGCACCCTCTTCGATTCCCCAAGCACTGGCCACGACAAACAAAGAACTCAAAGCGGAAGCAAGGCTGACAAACTTCTTTGTTGACAACATTTGGATTGGTCTGGAGTTTAGTAGACAAGAAGTTGTGACGGGTAGTGATTTGCAAGATGGAAAAGGCAGAATCGATTGTTGACAGACCGTAGCTCTCTCATCACTTCTGCAGATTGATATAAGAGAATTAAGGTTATGCCTAGTACACTCTATAGCGCCAGTCATAAACTAACCCGCTTTCTAAGACCGGCCAAATACTCGGAAATTTTGCTCATTTCAATATCAGATATCATGTTTGCGGACAAGACCGTTTCTTGACAATACTTGGTATATTTAATGCAATAAATGACGCTTATCAGGTGGCGTAGGTAATAATTGGCCGATAAAGCATTCATTAGTTATTGATGTAATTGCATGATAATTGCCAATCGCATGGATATAGTCTCGACGGGCGTTGGATTTCGAGTTTTGGCAAGGAGCTTTTACACATTGAGCTTTGTGCGGGCCAAGGCTTCGGTTGCGAGAGTGCAGGCAACGCTATAAACACCGCCATGGTTGGATGGTGTGGTGATACATCGTCCTGGCCGGTCTGCGAAGTAGAGTCAGGATAGCTTGGACAAATATCCCACTCGATACAGCAGATTGCTGGTTCAAATCCGGCAAAATAAAACTACTTTTCTCGCGGTGCAGCTGCACATGGATGACGAAGGCATTCTTGGATAATCAAAGGTTTTGAAACGTCCCTTTGGTGGGTACTCACGGGGGAGGGCCGACTGTTTGTGTAAGCAAGCATACCTCATAGTGGTATTTGCTGATGAAATCCAGAGTATGAGTGTCTCTAACGTCAAAGGAGTCATCCTGTTACGGGCTAGGCCCGGCTGGGTTCTGGCTGGGCTGTTTAAGGCTATAGGGCCCATCCTTATCTTGAAGGCTCAAGCGAGTTTGTAAATCTTCTCACTATACGGGAGTATTATCAGATCACGTGTAAAGGGCAAGGGTATCTGGAACAGGCATTGTAGTTATAAAGAGCCATAGCTTCCCGCTCGTAATTTCCTCATAGAAAATATGAACATTTAATTGTCGCATTGCTTTCGTGCATTGGCCGAAAGTCCTAGCCCCTCACACATCTAACATGTATAAATAGCACCGGTCATGGGTCGTAGCTCCATAGCTGCATACGCATTGAATGATTCAAAAAAAAATAGCCAATCGCAATAAGACCTGCATGTCTTTGATAAACATAGACTGAGAAAGGACTATAAAAGTATTAATCATAGTAATAATAATAATACTTTAGAGAGACTAGGGTTACGGTGGTAGCACACTACCGCTTCGGGGGACTATTCTCAAGACCTGTCAGCGGTGTCCCCTACGAACCTCTAGCTCTCACTGTAGAGTCTGCAGAGCCGAGATTGAGTAAAAAAGTCCTCACTTCGATGAGGATCCCTAATCGCTTTCGCCGTCTGTATCGTCTTCATTTCTCAACACATTCCCCTATCACCACTATCATGAAGCTAACCACGATTAGATCAGATGGTAGAGTCGGAGTCCTACTCATCACAAACCCTTGATCACGGAGGAAAAGCCATCCAATGAGTTTTCGGAGCGTACCCAGCTCCCGATACGGAGATGGCGGATTGGATCAAGTCGACCTCGAATGTTACAAAGAAGGGAGATATAGATGAATATGCGCACCTCATGTGGTCCCAGTGTCTAGGCCTCGGCTGGCTGGGCCTGCAGGTTTTTTTTGAGACTTTTTTCCCGCGCACGCAGTTTCCATTGCTACCATTTTTTTTTGGGTAGAAGGTTCCGTGGAAAAGGTGGCCGAATTCCACGGGTAAACACTGAGCTGAATGGCAATTCATCAAGGGGAATATATCAATGATCTTACAAGTAACAAAAGAGGCAAGGAGCACTGTGTACAAGGTGTGGCCTGGGTCAGAGAGGAGCCCAATGTGCTAGATAGTCATAGACTCAAGTAGTACAATAAACACAAACACAACAACACTACCGCTTCCCCAGAATTATATTTATTTTTCTGCAGGAAAGATCCTTTATTTTAATCGAATTTTAATCGGGTATGGAGCTATCTAGCTATGATACAATATCAGAGACAAAGTATAGAATGAATGACTCGATTTAAGTTTTCTCCGCTCATACCTCGGATGTCATTTACAAGTACCACTATGACTGTGACGAAAACCGAGTTAGTGATGAATAAATCGGTTTATTAAACTTTATGAGAAAGGAGAACTCTGGCTACGACTGACAGGTATTTGTAAGAATTGGTCCCCTTTGTCAATCTCCAGACTGATGACTTATCCCTAGGCACAATACTTGCTACCCAGCCACGCACTGCCAGGTGTTGCTTAGTTGTACTAAGGCTTCGACCTCATGACTATCTTTTTTTTTGCATCAGATATTACTTGCGTATGCAGCTATCTAGCTATGAGACAATATCAAAGAAAAGTACAGAATAGATGATTCAACGTAAAGGAAGAGCACTCATGCCTGATCTCCTGAATAGCAGTGCCGTCTTGTTCAGCTTCATCTATCCCTCCTCACGCAGCCTTGTCGTAAACATTCACAACAATAAGCTTAGGTGTTCACCTAAGCTTAAACAACGGTCAAACCGTAACAGGATGCGATTCTTCTTGGCTACCCCAGATATGCAGAGCATACCGAACGATTAAAACGGCACTAGTGCAAGGTGAATAATTCGTCTTTGTCGGCTTTTTAGATGGTATTCAGTCAGGAAATAATGACACCTTAGTCATTGAGGTTGTAGATCACATCGATTCATGTAAGTACCGAAATAAAACTAAGTACAGGTTTCCTAGTCACGTGTGTGTGTCAACAACGTGGCCTACTTTATAATCCCAACTATTCCAGCTTCTAATAGAATAGAGTAGAATTAATATCCCTGCTGAGTCTATGACTATGAAGGACAGCCAAAACTATCTAAATAGCTTTAAAGTTAATAGTAAATTTGGGCCCAAAGCAGTTTGGCAATGCAAATACGAAGTGAGCACATGGGGCTTAATTCGTATTCACACAGAAGAAAAGTACCCGGAGTCTACAGTCCAAGCTATCCATGTAGCTACCAATCGCAGAACCCCAAGCACATGATTATGTCCTGCCCCGATGGTCAAATGGTAGAGCTGAGATCTGGAGACAAGCCAAAGATCGATCCTACGAAGCGATGATACACAATCCTGGAGATATAAAAAGGATAACACAGTGGATCCTAAACCATGGTTGGATAGTGCAATTCTAGATGACAAAGGCGGTCGAAATACTGCTGAGGGAAAGGAAAAGGTCAAATAATGCTTGGGGCGGATAGAGATGATCTGGTTGGTTTACATGGATGGCACTATAGTGTAACTACGCTCGCTGAAGAAAATTTGTGAGAACTACAGACAACAAATAGAAAGATGTGGGAGGTTTTCATCATAAAGGTTTCCTCCCGGGTAAATGTTATAGACTGTAGACACCTGCATGGGCCCATAGGGCGCCAAATCAGGATAATGAAATCAAAATCAAGTAGTAAATTTGGATATTGTTGTGCTTATAATTTGCCAATAGATGATGAGGGTGTTGGAAATATCGCGCAATGTAATGGGCGCAATATTCATGGAACGAAAGTAGAGGTTGACTAAAAGAGTTTCATGTTCGGATTACAGCTAAAAGTGTGGGAGATATGCGCTACAGGTACAAGTGTAGGAGACACAGAGCCTAAGCCACAGCATAAACGAGTGTGGCGCCATCTAGGCATAGAAAACCCCCAATAACCTCCTTGCGCCCACGCCATACAGCCGCTCATATGTCCAATAGGTAGCCTGAAGCGCTACCATATTACCTACTCCAACCTCTTAAATACACACGAGGTCGTGTCGGGAACCTAGACGAAATGGAGGGCCCATACGTCCACAACACTCCGTGTCTCCATTTCCAACAGAGGGTCATGCCCTATTTTCCAACTTCTAATGTCACCATGTCCCCCAAGGGATGGAGCCCTAGCCATGGCTGAAGCCTGTTAGACCTTTAAAAGTTCATAAAAATATTTCAACTTCTAATATGGGACCTGATCACCGAATGATGGTAGTCTCACGCTCCCTCACCTACTGTGAGTTTGAAATGCCATTTCATGAGAAGCACCCCGATGAGCTTCGCCTCCCTCATCGCTCTCTTGGCTATCTAGTTTAATGCCGGACCGGACACGGTGGCTCTCGTGCTTATCATGAAAGGTTTCGACATGAAGATGCCCTTAGTACTTGTCCTTGCGGGGGATACAACTCAATCACACACTTAGTTTTTTGCCCCCTCGTTCGAGAGAGGCTGGCCTCTCTACCGGCTCCAACGAATCTGGGATCTCTCAATTTTCTCCTCGCCACCTCCCGTGGTGCTGAGCGATTCGCCTCTATGCTGGAGAAGGCTAAGTTTCTATCTGAAATCTGCCCTATCCGCAACGTGTGATCTAGTAAGGCGAGGAATATGCTGCATGGCGCTCACAATATCTTCGGGGGGATTATTTTTCAAGGGCTCTCGGCATCCAACTGTAAATAAAAGCATTTTATTTTGTAGCAGTCGCCATGTCCCTCCTGGAATGGGGCAGTAGCCTTCGCCCGGTAGATAATGAAAATGAATAAACAAGATTCTGACTTCGAACAATATTAAATGAAAAACAAATTTCAAAAAAATAGAGAAAGGAGGAAATTGGTGACATCAATTCATGACTCGGTTCCAATCAGGCTTATCGTTGTGCCATTTCGAAGAAATTTGTGTCATAAGCCTAGCACTTGAATGCATTAACTCCCTCCGTTGAAGCAAGTGCTCAAGAAATGCTAGGAGTGAAATTCTGTGCCTGTAACTGCCCGAGGTGGCAATGAAAAAAGTGGTTGAGAGCCTTCTCCGCATGAGGAGATTAGGTTGGAATTTTATGCTGAAATCGTCGGTGATAGTCTGGAAAATCGCCATGTCCAAACCGTGCAGCTAGGATATATCGCAGCGTGCGTCGCCCTAGGTAGAAGAGGTCGATGGTGATCATAGTAATAGGACTAATACTTAATTCTTTATACCTAGACGGTGAATTTTTCGCCCATTAGAGTGCAATGGAAGCCTGGTGTTAGGCCTTGACTTCCCTCCCTGTCCTCGCAGTGAAG